AAGGAAGAGGGGGTCAGGCAGGGTCTTACATAACCGTAGGTGAGGTTCCCTTTTGGCACGCCAGCAACAAAGTCTGCAAAGAGATGAGAAAGTTGTGGACGAAGGGTGGGAAACAAGGAGTCACAAGAATGGTAAGTGTCTCAGTCCCTGGGTCTCCATCCACCCGCTCCCTTGGCCTTGGCCTGGGGACACACTCACCTTCTGTGTCATCACCACTGAATTCACCCACAGCCACAGAGTAACCTGGGGGACAGGGTGGGTGGGTATTAGTATTCTTGCTTCGGGGACCCATCTGCCCAGGCCCATCTCCACTCGGTCCCCCACCCCTGCAGGCCTTCACAGTCAGCCTGCACATGACAAGTATGACAGCGGGGCTGGTGATGCCCGAGTGGGAAAGAGGAGGCAGGGGAGTGTGAGGACAGGACAGGGGTGCCTGAGGTTGCCCCCTCCTCTCCTCCCACCTGCTCACTCACCCAGATAGCTGTCGTCGTAGAAGGAACTGGCCTGGCGCGTCTGCAGCTGCCCCTGAACCAGGTTGATGAGGTACTCAGGGTAATAGGACCCTGCAATCTGCTCCTGGGTGGCCGACAGGATCTGGCCTGGGAAGGGGATGAGGAGGAGATGGACGGAGGAGGCGGGGCAGGGAGGAGAGAACTGGGGGTGGCGGTGACTGGATAGGATTTTGGAAGTCTGGTTCAAGGAAGGCAAGCTTGTGCAGGGTGGTGGAGGAGGACACGTAAGTCTCAACAAAGGGAGAGGAGAACTGGGATGGCCAACAGGAGGGGAGATGGCGACCTCAGGCCGGGAGCGGGATGAGATGCCTGTGCCAGGGCCCTAGGAGTCAGCACGGCAGGACTTACCTTGCCAGAAATAGCTCCCTGGTCCACCCAGCACCACGCGCCCAGTCTGTGGGGGGAAGGAGGCGAGTCTACGTCTGGTCCTGACCCCCCTGTGTCCACCACTCACAGCCACGTCCCTCCCAGGTCACCCTCTCACCTTGGTGAACTCAGCACTGAAGCCACCTTGGCAGTAACCCTGGCCTGCTGCCCAGCTGAAATCTGTGGGGGAGAAGGTGGTGGGCAGGAGGCCCACACAGATGGGCCAAGCAGGAAAGAAGAGAGATTGGGGAAGGAGGTGGGAGAGGACCCTGGGGAAGGGCGGCCCTGAACCAGACAGTAAGCACGAGACGAACAAGGGGCGGGTTTAGCGCCTCCTAGAGAGAAGGCAGACAAGGCGCGGGCCCACTCTTGCCCTACCTGAGCGGCAAGGTGCGTACTCCAGAATCCGGGTGAAGTTGTCTGTGGAGAGGTAGCAGGTGCCCACGGGATCGCTCAGCGGCTCCTTCTCTGTGCGCCAACTGTACAGCGGAGCGCAGGCCTGGGAAGGCCCCGGAGGAGGGAGTCTTAGGTTTAGACCAACAGAAACCCTCTCCTCCCTCCAGGCCTGTGTTCCATTGTGCCCGACCACGCCCTACCCTGGCCACCACCACCCCAGCCTGCTGGCCCCTCACCAAGATGGAGGAGCCATGGGCGCGAACGGTTGCTCCGAACCACTGAAAGGACTTGTACTCCACAGGTTCCTCCCCCTCGGGGTTGGAGAGGGAGGACTCCAGGATCCGAGAGCCTTGGGGAAGGGAGAAAGGGAGTCATGCAGGTAGTGGGCCACCGAGCCCAGCACAGCCCCTACCCTCAGCTTGGGGGCGCCCAAGCACTTGCAAGCCTAAAGCCAGGACTTACTGGGAGGGGAATGACAAAGGGTCTTCAGGCTCTACTTGGTGTAGCCTGACTCACCCCCCCTCTCTGCGCACACACCTGGGGTTTCTGGAGTTGCCTCGCTCTGGTCCAGCTGGACCAAGGATGCTTGCAGTGAGGTGGGGGCAGGAGGTAGTGGGGGAAGAATGGCAACCCTCTGGCTGCACTCCTCTGTCTGTACCTGGGCCGTATTTCTGAGCACCTTGTTCTTTTCTCGATCTTTCTCACATCTCGGGATTGCTGCCCCATGGACCCCTTCTAGCCACCGCCTTCCCCACACCACTGTCTGTGTCCATGGGGTATGGATATATACATCATACAGGACATCCTTTTTTATTCCTCTGATTCTTACCTGTCTTTCAGGTTTAAAAAAAAAACACCCCATCTGTTTCATGATCTTATCTCCCACCCCCCCACTGTCTCCATCTGTTTATGCGCTCCTCTTTTTGTCCCCTCACCCCAGTCTTTATCTCTGAAGCCAGATATAGCTCAGCAGTTCATATCCTTACTCCACCATTTACTAGTTGTGTGACCTTGAGCAAGTTACTTAACCTCTATTTCCTCAGCTATAAAATGGGGATAATAATATCTCATACAGTTGTTGGAAGGATTAAGTGAGTTAATATTTATAAAGTGCTTCTAGCAGTGCTGGGCACAGAGCAAGTGCTCTTGAAGTGTTAGCTGTTATTACTGTTTATCTCTGGTCTCTGTCTGTCTCCCCCCTCTCTATCCCTGCATCTACCCTGGGCCTTGAGCTCTTCGAGGGCAGTGGCTAAATCACGCTTCGACCCCCCGCGGCCCCAGCACACACAGTGCCTGGCACGCACGATCACTTAGTCAGTGCTTAGTTAAATGAATCAAATAGCCTGTGTGACTCTCCCTGTCTTTGTCTGTGTTACTGGCCTGGCCTCCCCGAGCTGTGGGTGATTCAGGGGAAATGAGAGCCACATGTTTCTGAATCATGCCCGCCCTCCTCGGGCTGGGCTGGACTGGGAACGTGGTGTGAGTGCCACGGGGAGCCGCTGCTCGCTGCACAGAACTGGAGCACCACCATCAGAGCTGGGCGGGCACGTGGCCAGGGAACTGGGCAGGCTCTACCCTTCACTCCAGGCCCCACCCGGGCCCCACCCCCAGTCCCTCCTTGAACTTCCCAGGCCTGCCGAGGAGGTTGGTTACCTTTGCTGTCAAACTCAATAGGGGTGCACGGTGCCAGGCTGGTGCCCCAGGGGCAGAGGTAGACAGCACCACCCTGCAGCACGCCTGGCTGGCTGGTGTTAGCCTTGGGTGCTCCCACCAGCACGCTGACCCTGTGAGGGGAATGGAGAAGCAGTTCAGGGAGGCTCCTAGCCCTTCTTCAGTTTCCCAAGGCAGGAAGGACCCAGGCCTCTGGGCCAGGGGCTGGCTGGGGGTGGGGTGGATGCCCCCTGAGTTGTATTTATATCTCAGAAGATGCCACAGATGCCAGAGGCACAGGCTGGAGTCAGGCGGTCCCCATGTGCCGCTGTCACTAACACAACCCCTCCCCTCCTCCCATCACTCTCTTTCCTCTCCTACCTTCTTCCCCTGCTATTAGAGAGAGAAGGAGCCAGAGTCAGTTCTGGGAAGGGAAAGAGGGGCCAGAGGTTCTGGCCTCAGCGTCTCCATCCCTCTATGGACCTGCCAAGGTTGGATGTGCAGCCTCTGGAAGCCAGGGTCCTCTCACCTAGCCCGTACCCTCTTGTCCCAAGCCAGAGCCTTTCTCTGGGCCAAGACCCAGGCATCCGGCTGCCCTGCTGTCCAGCCGCCCAGCCCTGGGGCGTGTAGGAGGAAAATGTGAGTCTTGGAAATCAGGCAGAAGTGGAGAGAAGAGCTGGATGGTGGTGAAAACAGACCGTTCCCCTGGGCTTGGGCCTGCCTTCTCCTTGGGCTCTGGTGTGGACTTCCCCACTGGGGCTGGGCCTTTATCTCAGCCCCGGAACCCTTTTCCACACACCATCTCTAGGAGTCTGCATTCAGATCCTGCTGTACTGGAGTCTTAGTTCCAGACACCGTCCCTCAGTCACCGCTGAAACCACGAGGAGAGGGTTGCCTTTGCTGGGGGGCCCATGTAATGGGGTGATCATAGTTAAGGTCCTGGATAATCTTCCCGTCTTTGGCTCTGTCTCTGCCATTTCTTGGTCCCTTGCCTCTGAGGCTTCTGCACAGCAGTCAGCCTTCTTGGCGTTCTCCTCCAGGGTCTCCCATGAGGACGGCATCTGACAACCAGGGCTGGGCCTGGCCCTGGGCCAGTGTCCCTGCAGGCCTTGGCCTCTGCTCTCCTCCCATACCTGCCTCTGTTCCGGCTTCTCAACCTCTGATCCTCTGCCCCTCTGACTGCTTGCTCTCTTGGTTTCAATGTTTGAGTTTTCTCTCTCTTGATCTCAGATCTTAGGCTTCTCCATATCTGTTGATTCCTGTCCCCTTTCGGCCTCAGCATTCCCGTACCCACTCCTTCCTGTTATTAGGATACCTTCTTCAGCCTTTCTTACCAGGAAAGAACATCCAAGTGGGAGATTATGTTAGAGGTGACAAACGCTGGGTTTGCCTTCCAAGAGGACCGGGTGGGGAAGGAGTGAAAGGGGTGGGGTCCAAGAGAAATAGGGGATGGCAACCACAGAGGAAACAGCTCCAAGGGACTGCAGTGGGGAGTGAGCAGTCCAGAGGATGAGAATGGAGGAGGGAGAGGCCAGGGTCCAGTGGGATGGGGGGGTGCTGAGAGTGCGAGAGTTCCTGGAGTGATGGGGGGTGGGGTGCCAGCCTTAGTTACTGTGGGGACAGGAAATGTTTACTGCCTGTGGCTTCCTGTCCGTTTCCAACCTCTCACTTCTCCGTTTGTCTCCATTTGTCTCCCACCAGCGGGGCCCCACCCTTTTCACTCAGGCACTACATACAGCTGGGGGGTGGGCCATGGGCGGTTACCTGGTCAGTTACCAGGCCCAGGAGGTAAGGCTGATTGTGCGGAGAGGCTGCGTTGTCCTAGGGCTGGGTGAGGAGAGAGGGGTACCGCCCTCCCCTAGCTGGGGCAGCCCCAGAAAAGTTGTGGTACAGGAGGCAGTGAAAAGAGCACTGGACCAGCTTGGCTGATGTGGTTTAGCGGTTGAGCGTCGACCTATGAACCAGGAGGCCACAGTTTGATTCCTGGTCAGGGCACATGCCCGGGGTTACAGGCTCCATCCTGGGTGAGGTATTCAGGAGGCAGGAGATCAATGAGTCTCTCTCATCATTGATGTTTCTATCTCTTTCTTTCTCCCCCTGCCTTCCTCTCTGAAATCAATAAAAAAAAAATTTTTTTTAAAAAGAGCACTGGACCAGGAGTCAGCCCTGGATGAGGGGCAGGCACTGGCTCAGTGTGGACTTGGGCCATACTTTTCCCCTCTCTCTGGGAGCAGAGGTTATGTCAAAGTCTCGGGGAGCTCTGATAGTCTTCCAGGAGAACACAAGGCTATGGCTAAGGGACCCGGTTCTCATTCCCCATTTTTTAAAAAAATATATTTTTATTGATTTCAAGGAGGAAAGAACAGGGAGAGAGATAGGAACATCAATGATGAGAGAGAATCATTGGCTGCCTCCTGCACGCCCCCGACTGGGAATTGAACCTGCAACCCGGGCATGTGCCCTTGACCAGATTCGAACCTGGGACCCTTCAGTCCACAGGCTGATGCTCTATCCATTGACCCAAACCGGCTAGGGCCCACTCCCAATTTTACAGCACCCCCAGCTCTTGAGGAGGAGCTGAGCTTAAGTTCTCCTGGGATGGCCCGAGGAAGAAGCCTGGAGTTTGTCGGACAGGGTTGGAAGGTGAGAGAGAGACCTTACAAAGATTGTAAAGCCCACAAGCTCATGGGCCAGGGGCATGTGCGTGGCTGTATGAAGGTTCAGCAGACCCGTTGTTGCAGGTAAGCCCACAGACTCCGATCCAGACCTGCCTCCACCACCCATGGCTTGTACCCAAGGGTTCAGTGGCCCTTCTAACCCAGTTCCTCCAAGTCAGTCTAATAACTAGTGTTCCTGCCTATGTGCCAAGGGAGGCACCTGGTGTCAGGGATGGCACCTCACATAGCTTATCCTATTCTCCCATTTTTAGTTCCTGCTTCCTAAATCCTGGAGCAGTTGGGGCCCCTTAGGGGTTCAAGAAGGTAACAATGGAAGGTCCTTGGGCTATTTCCTTTATCTTTTAAAATCCTCACCAAGCCCTAACCGGTTTGGCTCAGCGGATAGAGGATAGAGTGTCGGCCTGGGGACTCAAGGGTCCCAGGTTCGATTCCGGTCAAGGGCATGTACCTTGGTTGCGGGCACATCCCCAGTGGGGAGTGTGCAGGAGGCAGCTGATCGATGTTTCTCTCTCATCGATGTTTCTAACTCTCTATCCCTCTCCCTTCTCTCTGTAAAAAATCAATAAAATATATTTTTTAAAAAATCCTCACCAAAAGGATATCTTTTTATCTCTTTTTCAGAAAGAGTGGAAGCGAGGGAGGAGAAGAGGGAGACAGAGAAACATTGATGTGAGAGAGACACATTGATTGGTTGCCTCTAGCATGCACCCCAACCAGGGCCAGGGATCAAACCTGCAACCCAGGCATGTGCCTTTGACCGGGAATCGAACCCAAGACCCTTCGGTGCGTGGGCCAGTGCTCTGTAACCAGTGACCCACACCAGCCAGAAACTCTGGGTTATTTTCAATTTTTCAGAAAGCCTAATGGAAACATGCGTTTACTTGATAAGGCAGCCCAGGCTAATTAAAACCTCAAGTATATTTACTTTTGCTGGAATTATATCAACTCATGTAGAGAGCCTGACTATCTCATATTGGTCACAAGCTCTGATTGGCAGCTATAGATGTCTTCTTGTTCTCACTTCTAGCTGATAAAAAATGAGAAAAAAGAATTATTTCTTACTAAATGCAGTTGGGCAGATAAACCCTTCTAAAATATAAAGTTCAAGGGAAGAAATAATTGCCATAATTTATTTTGAAGCCTTAGGACCCTGAAACTCTAGCGTTGGTTCTTGGAGACATGGCTGCCACCACTGGAAGGCACCGCAGAGGGCACCCACGGGTGTGAAGACTTTCTTGTAGAAGCCTCAGGGCTGCCACGGGGAGTTAGGAGCTATTTTGGTCCTGACACTCCTCATCTTCCACAGTGGTTCTCAACCTTCCTAATGCCACGACCCTTTAATACAGTTCCTCATGTTGTGGTGACCCCCAACCATAAAATTATTTTCATTGCTACTTCATAACTGTAATTTTGCTACTGTTATGAGTCGTAATGTAAATATCTGATATGCAGGATGTATTTTCATTGTTCGCGACCCACAGGTTGAGAACCGCTGCTTTAGAGCAACCTCTTTTCCCTTTTTATATAGAATGTCCTGGTAAGATATCATTTGAATTTTTTAAAAAGAAAAAAACTTTAATTAAAAATACCTGCTGACTGAGTCCCATGTCCTTATTTTACAGATGGGAAAATTAAGCCCCACAAAAGTGAAGTAACATGTCTAAGGTCACTCTGAATCCTTCTCCACATAACCAGAAGCCAGGAATCCTGATTCCTAGGCCAGTGTTCTGGCTTACCCCGTTGCCAATTTATCTCCTTTTCTCTCCACTATCCCCCCAGCCAGGCTTCTGATTAACCAGGATCCTGTTCAATATATGGTTACTGTTTGACTCTGTTGGCCTGACAAGGTCGGGGGTGGAGAGGAGCAAGTGGACCAGGGCCCAGACCGTGCAGGTCCGACAGCAGCCCTGGCCAGGCCAGAGGAGGACACCTAGTTCTGGGTCCTACAGTGTATTCTCAAAGACAATGCCTGGCTGGCGGGGGAGGGAGAGTTGCCTCTACCTATGCCAACTAAGTATCCGAAAGGAATAAAGAGCTGGGCTAAGGCTAGTGCACCTTTTAAGTCTGTGTCCTAGGCCAAGTCACTTTCCCTCCCCAAGCCTTGGATTCTCTACCCATAAAGTGATGGGTTGCCCTTGAATGGTCCCTGAAACAAACTCTAGTTCTAAACTTCTGTACCTCCTGAAGCTTCAGTATATATATATATAAAATAAAATGGAGCAATAATGCCTCTTCTGCCTAATGCAAAGATTTTGTAATGATCCAATGAAAAAAGAGATATGAAAGTGCTAAGGAATGTGAGGGACTATTATTACTAAAACTGCTATAAGCAAATATTAAAAGCAAGTAAGAAATGGGGGAAAACTTGGAAAAAGGACTAGACGGTATCTAGGTTAGGAGAGAAGCAGAGACAGAAAAACAGCTACCTCATACAAATCATGCCTGCCAGGTATCGATCACCCTCCATGGACCAGGTGCCTTTTATCTGTATCGTCTCCTTTAGTCCTCAGAACAGCCTCATAAGTTAGGTGTCTGACTTTCATAAGAACACCAGGCTCTAAGGCAGCGGTTCTCAACCTGTGGGTCGCGATCCCTTTGAGGGTCGAATGACCCTTTCACAGGGGTCGCCTCAATACATCCTGCATATCAGATATTTACATTACGATTCATAACAGTAGCAAAATTACAGTTATGAAGTAGCAACGAAAATAATTTTATGGTTGGGGGTCACCACAACATGAGGAACTGTATTAAAGGGTCGCGGCATTCGGAAGGTTGAAAACCACTGCTCTAAGACCTTAAGGAACAGGCCCCAGGTCACACAGAGAGCAAGTGGTGGGGCCAGGGTGCACACCCAGTTCTGCCTGACTTAAGGCTTGGCCCTTGCCTACCATGCAGACTCTCTTGTGTTCACCCTGCCCTTTGATGCTGTTTTGGTGTCCAGGGTGAGAGGTGATGCAGAGGGACCAAGAACACAGAGGCCCTCCCTCTCCAGCGATGGCCCCAGGCGAGGGCTATGTTGGTCCCTGGGTGTAGGAGGGGGTAGAAGGTCCAGCTGCAGTGGAAGGGAGGTCATGGGGAGGTGGAATGTGCAGAGTCCCATTCTAAGAGGGCATTGTAAAGAGAAAGCGAGACACCTGGCTCTCTTGGAAGGAAAGATGACAAGAAGGGGGAGGGGGAGGGGGAGGGATGAAAATGCTGGGTCCTGTTGTAGAAGAGGGCTTTAGGGACTGCGGGATCAGGCCAGGGGCCAGGCAGACACCTAGGGGACCGGAAGTATGTGAAAGCCCAGATGTGTGAGAGGAGTCTTTGAAAAGGGAGATGACACTCTTGCTAGGTGTGGGGCAGGGTAAGAGGAAGGTTACCCAGATATGGGGGAGGATCCCCACCTCTCCTTCCCTTCCTCTTCTTGACTCCATTAGGGTTGTGGTAAGCAGCGGTTTAAGGGGGCCTTGGGGGAGGCCAGATCTGGCAGAAGTTCCAGGCCGGGGTGATGCAATGGGGTTTGGGCAAGAGGCCAGGGGGTGGGGTGGGGGCTGGGTGGGGACCTTGAATAGCCCAGAACCAACAGCTAGGGCCTAACTATCTTTTTTCCATCCCCACGTCCTCTAGACAATAGAGAAACTTACCCCCGTCCCCCCCTCCCCCCACAACTGAATTAGCTAGATTAATCCTTTTCTCCAAACATTAAAGAAAATGAGTAGAGAT